CGCACTTTTTTGAAAGTTTTTTATTTCACAATGAATTTTTAAAAAAGACTTCTATGCCTTAATGAAGTGCCTGATAACGAGTAGGCTGCAACTTTTACTTTTAAATCGTTTAGTCGCACTTTTTTGAAAGTTTTTAATTTCAATATGAATTTTTAAAAAAGACGTCTATGCCTTAATGAAGTGCCTGATAACGAGTAGGCTGCAACTTTTTCTTTTAAATCGTTTAGTCGCACTTTTTTGAAAGTTTTTTATTTCACAATGAATTTTTAAAAAAGACTTCTATGCCTTAATGAAGTGCCTGATAACGAGTAGGCTGCAACTTTTTCTTTTAAATCGTTTAGTCGCACTTTTTTGAAAGTTTTTTATTTCACAATGAATTTTTAAAAAAGACGTCTATGCCTTAATGAAGTGCCTGATAACGAGTAGGCTGCAACTTTTTCTTTTAAATCGTTTAGTCGCACTTTTTTGAAAGTTTTTTATTTCACAATGAATTTTTAAAAAAGACGTCTATGCCTTAATGAAGTGCTTGATAACGAGTAGGCTGCAACTTTTTCTTTTAAATCGTTTAGTCGCACTTTTTTGAAAGTTTTTTATTTCACAATGAATTTTTAAAAAAGACTTCTATGCCTTAATGAAGTGCCTGATAACGAGTAGGCTGCAACTTTTCCTTTTAAATCGTTTAGTCGCACTTTTTTGAAAGTTTTTTATTTCACAATGAATTTTTAAAAAAGACGTCTATGCCTTAATGAAGTGCCTGATAACGAGTAGGCTGCAACTTTTTCTTTTAAATCGTTTAGTCGCACTTTTTTGAAAGTTTTTTATTTCACAATGAATTTTTAAAAAAGACTTCTATGCCTTAATGAAGTGCCTGATAACGAGTAGGCTGCAACTTTTACTTTTAAATCGTTTAGTCGCACTTTTTTGAAAGTTTTTAATTTCAATATGAATTTTTAAAAAAGACGTCTATGCCTTAATGAAGTGCCTGATAACGAGTAGGCTGCAACTTTTTCTTTTAAATCGTTTAGTCGCACTTTTTTGAAAGTTTTTTATTTCACAATGAATTTTTAAAAAAGACGTCTATGCCTTAATGAAGTGCCTGATAACGAGTAGGCTGCAACTTTTTCTTTTATATCGTTTAGTCGCACTTTTTTGAAAGTTTTTAATTTCAATATGAATTTTCAAAAAAGACGTCTATGCCTTAATGAAGTGCCTGATAACGAGTAGGCTGCAACTTTTACTTTTAAATCGTTTAGTCGCACTTTTTTGAAAGTTTTTTATTTCACAATGAATTTTTAAAAAAGACGTCTATGCCTTAATGAAGTGCCTGATAACGAGTAGGCTGCAACTTTTTCTTTTAAATCGTTTAGTCGCACTTTTTTGAAAGTTTTTTATTTCACAATGAATTTTTAAAAAAGACGTCTATGCCTTAATGAAGTGCCTGATAACGAGTAGGCTGCAACTTTTTCTTTTAAATCGTTTAGTCGCACTTTTTTGAAAGTTTTTAATTTCAATATGAATTTTTAAAAAAGACGTCTATGCCTTAATGAAGTGCCTGATAACGAGTAGGCTGCAACTTTTACTTTTAAATCGTTTAGTCGCACTTTTTTGAAAGTTTTTTATTTCACAATGAATTATTAAAAAAGACGTCTATGCCTTAATGAAGTGCCTGATAACGAGTAGGCTGCAACTTTTTCTTTTAAATCGTTTAGTCGCACTTTTTTGAAAGTTTTTTATTTCACAATGAATTTTTAAAAAAGACGTCTATGCCTTAATGAAGTGCTTGATAACGAGTAGGCTGCAACTTTTTCTTTTAAATCGTTTAGTCGCACTTTTTTGAAAGTTTTTTATTTCACAATGAATTTTTAAAAAAGACGTCTATGCCTTAATGAAGTGCCTGATAACGAGTAGGCTGCAACTTTTTCTTTTAAATCGTTTAGTCGCACTTTTTTGAAAGTTTTTAATTTCAATATGAATTTTTAAAAAAGACGTCTATGCCTTAATGAAGTGCCTGATAACGAGTAGGCTGCAACTTTTTCTTTTAAATCGTTTAGTCGCACTTTTTTGAAAGTTTTTAATTTCAATATGAATTTTTAAAAAAGACGTCTATGCCTTAATGAAGTGCCTGATAACGAGTAGGCTGCAACTTTTTCTTTTAAATCGTTTAGTCGCACTTTTTTGAAAGTTTTTAATTTCAATATGAATTTTTAAAAAAGACGTCTATGCCTTAATGAAGTGCTTGATAACGAGTAGGCTGCAACTTTTCCTTTTAAATCGTTTAGTCGCACTTTTTTGAAAGTTTTTAATTTCAATATGAATTTTTAAAAAAGACGTCTATGCCTTAATGAAGTGCTTGATAACGAGTAGGCTGCAACTTTTTCTTTTAAATCGTTTAGTCGCACTTTTTTGAAAGTTTTTTATTTCACAATGAATTTTTAAAAAAGACGTCTATGCCTTAATGAAGTGCTTGATAACGAGTAGGCTGCAACTTTTACTTTTAAATCGTTTAGTCGCACTTTTTTGAAAGTTTTTTATTTCGCAATGAATTTTTAAAAAAGACGTCTATGCCTTAATGAAGTGCCTGATAACGAGTAGGCTGCAACTTTTTCTTTTAAATCGTTTAGTCGCACTTTTTTGAAAGTTATTAATTTCAATATGAATTTTTAAAAAAGACGTCTATGCCTTAATGAAGTGCCTGATAACGAGTAGGCTGCAACTTTTTCTTTTAAATCGTTTAGTCGCACTTTTTTGAAAGTTTTTAATTTCAATATGAATTTTTAAAAAAGACGTCTATGCCTTAATGAAGTGCCTGATAACGAGTAGGCTGCAACTTTTTCTTTTAAATCGTTTAGTCGCACTTTTTTGAAAGTTTTTTATTTCACAATGAATTTTTAAAAAAGACGTCTATGCCTTAATGAAGTGCCTGATAACGAGTAGGCTGCAACTTTTTCTTTTAAATCGTTTAGTCGCACTTTTTTGAAAGTTTTTAATTTCAATATGAATTTTTAAAAAAGACGTCTATGCCTTAATGAAGTGCCTGATAACGAGTAGGCTGCAACTTTTTCTTTTAAATCGTTTAGTCGCACTTTTTTGAAAGTTTTTTATTTCACAATGAATTTTTAAAAAATACGTCTATGCCTTAATGAAGTGCCTGATAACGAGAAGGCTGCAACTTTTTCTTTTAAATTGTTTAGTCGCTACATTTTTGCATGATTTTTAAATGGTGGTTACGGAGATGTAAATATTCAATTATGCGCCTTATATTCAAAATTTAAAGAATAATAATGGTTCTGAAAAATTTTCAGGAATTTTTTGATATAAAATTGTCGGGCGGACTCCACCGGTCTCCAATTCTCTTAACCTTAAAAAACTTATTTGTGGCCAAAATTTTGTACTCACTAAAGAAAATTTTTTATTAGTATATAAATATATTTTCTATATTTTTAACACTAAACTGTTAAAATCACCTAATTTTTAAATTATTATTTCCATATTTTTTCCTAAATAGTTATAATTCCCACCACTATTCCATAAAGTAGACCTAATTTACATTTTGTGCCGTTTTTAGGCCGACAAGGGGGTCGATAGAAACTTCTAATTACCCAGTTTTATTTTTTTATTTTTCCAAATCACGGAAGGCAACCGTAATCTGTTTGTTTTGTTTAAATTTTAATTGGTGGCAGGTAATTGTGATAATGCCGCGTACGCAATTAGCAACAAAGCGAACAGACGCGGCAGCCTTGATTGGCCGTGCGTGTTTGTCCAAATTATCTGCGGGGCGGGCCGCCCCTGCGTTGCAGGTGCCATATGCGTATTCCGCATCCTCGACGTGTGCTCTCTCGCTGCCAGATTAGCGGCCGTGATGCACGAAATGTGTAATGACAAGTGGCTCCGTTATCTCCAAAGTCATTGACTCTGCAGCGAGGCGGCGCCGCCCGGCCGGCAGGCAGACCCGCGCCACTCATCGCACCAGCCGTCTGCAGACCTCCAAGGGGCACTCGACTTTCATGCAAAAATTTATTTATCAAGCAATTACTCCAATTCACTTTATTTCTTTCCATCAAACATCCGTTGAATAAATTTTTTGCACTCCTGAATTTGCTGCCGAAAATTTAGTTTTTGGTCGGTGACCTGTGTGCTTCTTGTCGCGGATCAGGTTTGTTTCTGCCATACACAAAGTCACGCCAGGAAAGCAGAGTAATATGCTCTACTGGCGTCGCAGAAAAATAAACCTGATTTCCGACGAGCAGGAAAAGGACGCTTCTCATATTTTCAGCGACGTCAACCTCCAACCTGGCTAAAAAATTTTTTCTTGCGTCATATTTTTTCTTACTGACGTGTCTGCACGGAAAACTCTCTTTCTAGAGGAAAAGGAAAAAGCTATATTTATGCAGCCTGAAACCGGCGAAATTTTATATCGGGAGCAGAATTTGATAGTTGCAAGGGCGTGTACCCGTCAGAGAGAAAGATGAGAGTAATGCAATAGCTGAAAGTTTTTTCAAACTGATGTTGCAAAATTTTTCGCATCCGCGAGCTTTGTTTGCCGACATTGCTTTCCTCCCCCCGCGAGTGAGAGATAGAGAGACTCGCTAGTTTCCACTGGCCGATTTCGGAAACTCGATTCCCGTCTTGAGTTTTGAGTTTCACGCACCGGACAATAGGGAGGCTGTTTTTGGTTTTCTTTCTGCTTTTTGCTTCACTGGCCATGCGCGCACCGTCTTTGTTGCGATTGTTTGTCTGTTTCCAAGCGTGACCAGCCAGTTGGTGCTCTGCTTATTCTTATTGTTGCTCCGTCTCCTCTCTCCAGACCCGCACACATTTTCATATATTCATTTCGCTGTGCACCAGCCAGCCGAGGCAGCCAGGGTTCACGCTCAAATTCATTCAACTTTACCCCACTATGTGGAAGAAAGACGGAGCCGCCGACTAAATTAACTCCACTTCAGGCGGAAAAAATTCTAAAAATGCATAGGAATGATTTGCAAGAATCAAACAACGAGATATTCACTGATTTTCAACTTTTTTTTAGTGTATTTTTAATGCAAAAATATGTCTCATCATGGATGGATTTACAGATAAATATTTACAGCGTTGTGTACAGGCTTAATAATTAATCATCGTAATTGACTAAGTGAGATCAGCAGAGCAATTTTCGCAACAACAACAATCAACAGTCCTTCATCACACCTCGGTGGCCACGAACCCGGCGGCTTTGGCGGCCGCCGCAAGGACCGCGTCGTCGCAGCCCGTGTCCGGGATCGAGTAAATCGAGGAGCCGCTCTTGCCGTACAGGCAGGACACGTCCTTGCAACAGGATGTTGACGGCCCCGCCATGCACTCACTTTTCTTTAGACCCCCAGAGTCACTAAAATCAGATGAAAAAGTGACATTAGTCTCAAATTATGAAATTATAATAGACACTTAACAACATTTCTTATTAAAATAAAATCGTTTTTGACATTAAGGTAATGAGACTCACCACATTGAAGGTTGGCAGCACTGCTGCGATTCCAAGCTGGCCTTGGACAGTCTGTTGTCTGCGTCTAGGAAGGCGCGGTTGGTGTTGAGCTTTGCGTAGTCGTGGCTGACCGTGGCGTACTCGTGGTTGTCGGCCCGTAGCCGGTTGTGGATCATCTCTGGCCGTTGGCCGCTGGCCCGCAGGTTTGCCTCGTTTTGCAGTCGTGCTAAGTGGTCGGCCGCCTTACGTTCGACCTCTCTTCTTCTCCGCAGCAGCATTATCGAGGCGACGCCGGCCAATGCGACGACAGGGATCAGCACAGACAGCACCACCACTAGAGCTACTTGCTGGCCACTCAGACTGGCCACTTCGTCATCAACCTGAATTGAAAAAAAATTATTTAAATTTGGTTTTGAAATTTTATTTTAGAAACATATTTATTAAAAAAATCAAAGTATACTTAATGAGTTTTTATTGATTAAAAAAATTAATAAAATGTAGTATAACCAAAAGGCTAAAGAAATTTTTTTAAGAATACTGACCTCTCTGACAACGAGATATTCTCGGTCCACGATTCCGCGAACTTCGTCACAGTGTCGGCCAAAGCGGCCAGGCGGACAAAAGCAGCGGTAGGCGCCGTGGCCGAGGTCGCTGCAGGTGGCCGCACCGTGGCACGGCCTCGTCAGGCACGCTTGGTAACTGTTCTCGCAGAACTTGCCAAAGTATCCATTGACGCACTCGCAGACGCGCGCGCCTTCATTGCTCACGCAGCTACCACCTAAACAGAGAAACGGTTTCCGGTCACAACTTGCAACAATCTCGTGACAAAAGAGTTCAAATTCTGATTGTAAAAATTTTAAATATTTTTGCAAAAATATTGTATTTTTTTTTTCTTTCTAATTACGTAAAAAATTTCTTACCGTGAAGGCATGGCTGCGAGTCGCAGTCTCTGTTGCGAATTTCGCACAGCTGCCCCGAGAATCCGGGGGCACACTTGCAGACGTAGTCTGGAGCTCCAGGGGGCGGAAGGCGCGTCTCGCAGGTGGCCCCGTTGAAGCAGGGTGAGTTGAGGCACGACGAAGACTTCTGGCCGCACAGCGGTCCAGAAAAGCCTTTGGGACACACGCAGAGACCAGAGATCTGCGAATCGCAAAAGAACACAAAAGTTTTACAAAACGTCTATATGCGGAGGGAGAAATTAAAATTCGCTGGGAAAGAGTTCAATTTGCGCCGAGTCGGGAGCAGCTAATTTTTTATACGTTCGACATGGCATGAGAACCGGCAGAACAAAAGGCCTATTATGAACGCGCAGCACGCGGCGGCCGAAAAAAAATCTTGAAAAAATTTGGAAAAACGCGCGCCGTTTTATCTGATGGGACAGATAATTTGTTCGGGGGCGCAATGCACACAGAGATATAGACGGGAGCAATTTCGCGCGCAATTATTGTTATTATATTTTCATTTCCTGAGTTCTCACGTTTGCAGGCCGAACATGAATTATCGCGCGGTCCCGCTCGGTTCTCTGCGCGGCACGCAATTTGCAAAGATACGTGCGCCGAATGCGAAGCGAAATTAGGAAAAGCTCGATCGGCCGGCCGGCCAGCCTGCCGCGTCGTGGGCGCGAATAGAGACAAATAATAATTCCCATATATCCTCTGCTGATGGAAAAAAAATATTAATTCGAAGCGGGCGTGAAACAAACTGCGTCCGAATCCATGCGAATCGCGGCAGGCACGCATCAGAAATAAAATTCGCGCCATAAAAACAGGAATGGCCATAAATCCGGCGGCCACTCGCAAATATTAAAAGGGAGTGAAAATCATTTTTGGTACGGACAGGAAATAGTAATTTTTTTATTATTTACCTGGTCACAGGTCGCGCCGTTGAGGCAGCCGAGGACGGCACAGGAGGCGGTGGGCGTGCCCAGGTAGGTTTCGCACTTCTGCCCTGTGTAGCCCTGCGGGCAGTTGCAGGTGAACAGACCCTGGCCCGTGTTGAAGCAGGTGCCGCCGTTTCGGCAGGGTCGGTTGTTGGTGCAGTAGTTGAGATCGTCCTTGCAGAAGAGACCGCCCCAGCCCTCCTCGCAAAGGCAATCCCACGGCTTCTCGCAGGTGCCGCGGCCGCAGCCAGGGTGCGGTCTGCACTCATTGCACAGAGGCCCCTTCCAGCCCCTCTTGCACCTGGAACGAGAAAAAAATAATTAATACAAATAAATAGTAGGGATTTTTGCTCATATTTTTACAAAATGTACCGCATTCGGTGAAATTCCATGCACGGAATAATTCTAATTGGAACGTTTTTTTTACATTAAATATTTTTTCCACTTGTGGCTGATTAGCTGATAAAACGTTGATTTTCATATCAGATCTTTCAAAAGTCACGACAGCCATCAAGGGACTGTGAAATGCGCCAGTGGGGATTAAAACGCGAAAAATCTTGATAAGCGGCCTTAGTGGGCATGCCGTGATTAAATTGGGTAATTGTGGAAAAATTACGACCCTAATGAAAAAATTGCTGCCCAGAATTTCCGTTGTTTGGGCAAAATTGAAAAATTCGCGAAATTTGCAAAAATTAAATTTAGAAAATTTCGAGTTTGAAATTTAAAAGTCCAACCGCGGCGAGTGTGCGAAAAGGCGTAAAAACGGTCGTGTTCGGCGGTTCGACCTCAAGAAGAAGTGAGGTGTGCGAGCGCGAGCCGGTGTTTTGTGGCGCCGAGGGTACAGAGAGGCCTGTGATGTGAGCTGAATACCAGCCACACACCGTGGGAACCGCAGCATGGGAATCGAGAAAGGCGCTGCGCGAAAATTCCATTCACAACACCCAGGCTGGATGCACCGCACCGGCCCTCGGATGCAGCCACCCGCCCGCACCACCCCCTCACCCCGATTCGCACCACCCCCCACCTGTCCCACTCGCTTTTTGGGTTCAAAAAAGATTAGGATAGAAAAATGAATTTGAGACTGACCGGTCCATCATTTTTTGGCTTCCTGCTCTTTGCATTTAATTAGAATTGACAGCGTTTGTTAATTTTCTATGGATGCCATCCGATTGCGCAAAAATCGTTTGGCGTGACAGGTCTCGCTTGCCGACGAGTTTGATACTTTTCTCCTTATAATATGCATGTATTTATTTATACACGGGGACCTTTGACAGCGCGCGGCTGCAGACGCGGGACAAGACAAGTTATGCTGCACTCACTTTCGCTTTTTCCCATCGCAGCGACTCGCGGATCAAACCCGATTGAGCAAATTTGTGCAACGCGTGGGTAGTGTGGGAATGAATTAAGTGAAAAACGGTCCAGCCGGGATGTGCAGATTGAATCACATCGCGAAAGAGAGGCTGAGCCTTTGACAAAACCCTTTTGTTCCGAGAGAAAGACCAGAGCGTTTTCCTGCCGCTTAATATTGAAATGCAAATCCGCCCTGGCAGTCAAGTGTCATCCGTCGGCAGCCGCCCCCTTAGACACACCACTCTCGGTCGAGGGTGTACTTGTGCAAAAATATGTACGAAGGGAAAGGGTGCGTTTTTGCGGAAAAACGTCTCGGCAGATGTTTTTATGCAGATTTCGAATCACGACGGCGGCGTGAACTTGAGAAAAGTCGCTGCAGCTGCCCGGCGACGCAATCCAGGTGCCAATTTATTACGCCGGTGGGATTTATCAAGGCGTAATTATTTGGGTTTTCGGGCTGATAAATTCATTATTAACGTTATTCGTGTCACGCACCAACTTGATCGTAAAAAACTGACTGCGTGAGGGCTATTCAAGTTGCATTACAAAAGGAAGGCGGTGATGTTTTTTGAAGGTTTTTTCTATGATAAATTTTAATTGTAACAAATAGAAAAATATTGAAAAAAAAGATACATTTAATTTGTATCTTTATTTAAAAAAACTATTCAAAAAATTAAATTTTATTTCAATTTACAATAATTGCCTCATTCTCCTTCTAAAAAACAGAAGTTTCGGTTTCCAGAAGAAAAAGTTTAAAGACCCTTCTCATTAAAGCACTAATCCCGGCGCTAATTTGAAAAACGTGTTGCAGGACGATCGATTTCCGGTGTCGTCTCGCCCGATTTGTCCAAATTAAATTCCGCGTGAAAGCTTTGGGAAGAGCGAGTTGTGCCTGCGGAAAATTGAGCCCGAGGGGACCTTTTTTGGAAACGAGTCCCAACCGCAGTGACAGAGAGAGAGCATTTGAAATTCAAATGAACGGCTGCGGATTTATTTGCATGCGCGTCTGCCAAAGTGACTGCAGTGGCACCGGCAGTCGGTGTCACCGCGCCGGGGGTGCACCAGGGGTGGCGTGGGGGTGTCTGCCGTCTGTTCGAGCGCGTGCAGCCCCTCGCAGCATTTGCATGGACACGCGGGCGTGTTTTGTCAATTTTTTACACTCGCGAAGGAAAAAGGGAGAGAGAGAGGATGGAAACGAACCGGTGTGTGAGTAAATAAATCTCCATTTGGACTTTCGACTGAAAGCGATACTGCTGCAGCTCGCTGGTAGCGATTTGATTTCTACATGCTCTTTATCTCGAATTACTTGGGCAATGAACGTAAATCGAATATATAGATAGAATCGCGCTCGAGTTTCACCGAGAGCCGAAAGGGTAACCGTAAGCGATTTTTATGGATTTGGGACCGAAACGCCGATTTAATGGTGCGTTAAATGCGATACCCTTTGGAGAACGCGCACCATAAAAGCCACCCAGCTCGAAAGCCATCCGAAAAATTTTCCACGCAGTTGCACTTTAAAAGAGTAAATTTGGAATGAATCCGAGATTTATATCACTGGGCTTAATTAGATATTTATTTAGCCACGCATGAGCGAATAGCCAAATTGTTGAACCAATCAATTTTACGGCTTTTTTCGTTTGGTTTGCTCAAAATTAATTTTTCAACCCTCCAGAAGATTATATATAAATTAAGAATGGTACTCACTTGCACTCGTTGGGCTTGGTGCAGTTGCCGTGGAGGCAGTCGGGCAGACACTTGGGCTTGGTGCAGTAGTCGCCCTGCCAGCCGGGCTCGCACACAATGCTGCCCTGGGGGCTGCAGGTGTAGTGTCCGAACTCGTCGTTGCGTGGTTTACAAAGCAACTCGCACCCGTGGCCGTAGTAGTTGGGGCCGCAGGTCACCCGGTACTCGTAGTGCAGCGACGTGTGCCCGTTTGAGAACATGGCCGGCGTGTACGTCGCGCCGACGTCCACGTTCTGCTGCTGCGTGTGACGCGCCAGAAGGCGACGTTCGCCTGGAACACAAAGAGGAGAACAACTTTTAGTGAAAGAAAATCGCTTCAGATTAAAGTACACATTTAGTGCAGTGAGGGGTCGAGACAATACTAGAGAATTGACCGGATTTTTTTTTTTAATTAAATTTGTATTTTTTTATATAATGAGTTATGACATATTCAATTTAATTAATTCCTAAAAATAAAAATCTATGTAGTATTGCTTATTAAAAAAAATTCAATACATTGAATTTAATTAAAATAGTGTTTTAACAAATTTTGCTTCTTTTGAGAAGCTTCAACATTAAGTCATCGCCCTCCATCTGCTCTACTGTAAGTTTACACAGCACATTGCGATGACAATTACGAAGAAGATTTGGTAACTTTTGACTTAAGTCCAACTCTGAATTAGAAATTACACACCAGACGGCTAGCGAGTAAATAATGCGGAAACTCTCGAGTTTTGAAATTAGTCGGAAGGAAAGTGTAAAAAAACAGCACGTGCGAATTGCTTAAACTTCGGCCAACTTCGTATTTGATTTTTTTTTTGCATTTTATTTTTCTCGACGGCGAGTCAGAGTGAGAGAGAGCGACGAGTTGTTGGTGTGCCATGAGGAAAATCTATACAAGAGCAGCTAGGAGCGGGCGGGCGGCGTGACTTTGGCAGCCTCTCAATTCCGGCCTGTGCTCTTCTCTTGACTATACACGTACCAGAGAGACACACGCGAAATAAGCGAAAAAAGCAGCAAATTCGGTCGACGACGAAGAAGTTGAAGAGCAAGTGAATCGATGTGAAAAAGGGAGTGGAAAATGGGCAGCAAAAAGCACAGGAAACGAAGAAAATTGACAATCGAATGGTTCTCGGTAAAATTGTCTCCCTGCGAGGCAATGGAGCGAGACGCCAGACGCAACGTACGTAAGCAACAGCAGCAGCTCCTGCTTGAGATCAGTGAACAGGAAGAGCCGTGGAAATAAACTCACTCACTCAAAACACCGCACGCCGAGGTGACAAAAAAGTGGAGGCTCTTTTTTTAGCATCACCGCAGCGCCCATCGGCTCTGCCGCTGGCCGTGCTGCTCCAGAAGAAATTCATTTTCGATCGCGGGCCCCCGCAAAAAAACAACACACGGATCCAATTCGATTCCATTGTACGTGGCGGTCGGTGTGAATTATGAGAGAGTTTCCCAGCCGATTGAGTGCCGTGATTAATTATACCTTATTTTTTCTGCACTCGGTTAACCAAATTAATCAAAGGAACGTAAAAAAGAAGAACTTTTTATTTATATAAAAAGAAGAAGATCCTCGCGACTTTCTAAATCTGCATTCGAGAATGTAAATAAATTTAAAACTTGTTTACAGGTGTTTTTCACGACGCCACTTTGAATGCCAATCAAGACGAGTTTGCTCATATTTGACAGCGGCCAGCGTTTGGCTCACATGGGAGAGGGAATATCTCACGTAAGAGCGCAGCAAAATTAAATTTATCGCTTTCGACTGCTGCTGCGCGATTGTATGTACACATGCAAACATACCGCGGCCGGGCCAGCGGCAGGTGGAATATAAAAAAAATAAATACTCAAGATGAGCTAATGGCTCAAGATTTTCATCAACTTTCGCCCGTCGAACTTTTAGCAGCGGCTGGTCCCAACTATAAAAATAAAAGGGACAGGTGGAAATGCGCCTTTTAAACACGGCAAGGGTACGTAGGGTGTGCACATTAATTTTGACTGTAATGAGTGGCTCGGCAGGTTCACGGTTTTATTTATAAATTGTATGAATTGTACACATAATATACGTAATAAGAAGCAATAATAATGTAAATTTAAAAACACGAGCAACATTAAAAACTTTTTTGTTTCAAAATTTTAATTTTTCTTTTTATGTAATATTTTTAATTTGAATATTAAAAGTTGTATTTTTACTTATAATTGGCATCAGATTAAATTTTTTTAACATACAAACAAAATAAAATTTAATATTTAGATTATTGTGAGCAAACTTCATGAAAAGAAAAATTGTTCTAAATGCAATTATATTTATCAGTCTCAAGACAAATTGCTGGAATCTCTATTATTTTAATATAAAATTATAAATTAAATAAATTATATTAGTTCCATTAATAATCAGTTCACAAATATCCGACTTATTGTCAACTGTAAACTTCCACAAAATTCTAATTAAAGCAGTTATCCCTCACTCACTTTTACTCTAATTGGTAAGCGTTGCTGTCATCAGATTCAATTTGTTTTTCACTTTTTTCCTCGGCTTTTAAAAACGAATTTCGGCGTCACGTTTGACGTACAATAAAAAACCAGTTTGCCTCGCAGCGACAGAGAGAGAGAAAGAAAGACGACTGTGGAAATAATAGAGCGATTGCGCTAGCCAAGTTACGCGGCGCGGGGCCTGTAGCTGCCCCCGGGGGCGGTGAGGGCGCTCACGCGACCCCGCACCATTCACGCAGGTAAGGAGAAGATTTTTTAAAGAAAGGCTGCTGCTCGTGAGTGTGTGAGAAATGCTCCTTCCTGTGGCGAAAAAGAAGCAGATGCCGGTCTGGCATATGGAGTAGTGGATGGATGGATGTGGAGGACGCCAGGTGTGTTTCTCACCATTTACAACGAAGGAAAGAACGGAGAGTAAAAAACAAACCCAATTGGGCTGCTGCATCGGCAGCAGGTAGTCAAGCCAAAGGCGCCCGTCAGGGCCGTTTATTTTTTTTTTATAAAACTCGCGGCTTTTCGATATCATGCGGGGTGAGTTTTACTACACACACGCGGGGTGGACCGATGATGCTTTGATGCAGCTCGCCCCCCCTCGCATCCACCCCGACCGTTACGCGAGCAGGGGGAATTTAAATAGACAGGAAGTGTAACGACCAACGCTGAAAATGGCACTGCCAAAAGAATCCCTACTAAAATGCTCGGGCGAAAAAACAAGCTCTAATTAATGCGGCATTTAAAAACGTGCGCGTTTTTTTGTTTTACTTTCAAGCTGCACATAAGAAGGACGCGCAGGAAGGCAATTATCGGTCAAGTTCAGGAGGAGTTGGCAATTATAAAAGAGAGGCGATAAAACGCGGCAGCGCGCGGTCAACGGAAATGGACGCCGCGTCTGATAAATCGAAAACGGAATAATTTTGCAACTGTTTCGCCGGCCGAAAGTTTCCGTAGAGGGAGAAAGGAAAGGAAGTGCCTCAAGAAAAACAATAAAAAGTGCTGAATTTTTTTAAAATAATTGGACCGGATGCTCTCTCATTTTAATTTTTACTTTTTAAGATTTTTTTAATTTTAAACTAAATTCTTGTAATTGGCGCATTACAAATTCTACCCATTTCATCTTTGTGCTTTAAATTTTGATTTAGGACGGTGGAAATCTGGAAATGAGGTCGAACGGTAAGATGATGCTGCAGCTTAAAAAATGTTTCCGAGCGGCGCTCTATTGACTATATCAAAAGCGAGTATTTTACCAGAACGGCAGCTGGCTTGTTTAGAGAGTAAACAATTCTTCAAGAGGGTAGGAAATCCGGATAAATAGACAAGGAAGACGCCAGCCAGCCAGCAAGGCAGAGGAGAGAAGATTTTACCACGACCCTCCTCGCAGGCGTGTGAAAATATGTTCTGCCTCAAATTATCGCATTTGGCGAAATGAAATATTATCCTTATGTAGTTAGGGAAGGAAGAGAAGAAGAACGGGCGCCGAAAATCCTTCCATTGTCGACAAACCAAATAAATCTCGGAATAAAATTTTTATATTTGCACGGACAGAAAAAAATTAACGCCGTTTCATCAGGAGGAGAAAAAAATATAATCACGGCCGAGAGAATTAAAGAAATAAAGCAAGCGTGCAAAAAATTCTGAGAAACCGCTGCTTCTTTTTCCACCTGCTTGCTTGGCAACCAATAAAACCGATAATATAATTTGAATGAAAAATCACGAGAGTGGTTTACAGAAACATGGAATTATTAATAAACGCGAAGGGTGTGTGTGTGAGATGGAAAATGGAGATGAGTTTTTTTCTCCGCTCCGCGCCGGTTTATGGCTCGCATGCTGGACCGAAACATGCAATTGGGCTGTGGGAACCTGGGATCGCGTGCAGTCGGAAGTGGCATATGTACCTCCACCTTACGCTCAGGTAGTTTGTTTTAGCTGGGAGAGCAGCAGAGCAACGAAACGTGGAAGCCTCAGAGATGAGGAAGTTGCCGCCGCCGTTGGCCAAACACTACGCACTCCCGATGCTCCTGCTCGGAGGAGGACACGTCGCGCAGATCAACTTTCAGCTCGCCATTCATCAATCTATATCCGCCTCAGGGATATAAAAAAAGCGAAACCAGCTTGGCAGGAAAGGGACGAAAAAAGGAAAAATTTACAAAACTGCCGAAATTTGTTTTAAAATTTGCAATCAGAAAATCGCACAAATCTGAATTTAAATGATAACTCTACAAGTTTATACATAATAAAAACGCAATGATTTTAGCAATAAATTTTAAATAAAAACGTTTTAAAGAATAAACTCAATAATATTTTGATAAGAAAATGCAAAACAAGTTGGAATAATTAATACACATTAATAAATAATTTGAAATTTTTAATATTCCATTTCTTAATATTATTTTCAATTTTTAAGTGTTATTTAAAAAATACAATTAATTTTAATTGCAGCAACATGAAATTTCTAATCAAATCTATGCATATTTAAATAATTTACTATGTAATCGGTAAGGTAAATAAAAATCATTAATTGAATTAAGTTGGTTTGGGGTGCCCATTTTTAAAAATAATTTAAAATAAGAAATAGATAAAGAAAAAGTTAATAAGAAACGTCAGGGGAAAAACGTGCGTTAGTTCTTTAACTGTTCCGTTCGACGAAAATCGAAACGTGAGGAGCAATAGAAACTCTGCCGCGAGTCTGGCGAGTTCGCGCGCGGCGGCCGATGCCAGACAATAGGTAATTACACCGGTCGACCGAAAGGGGTTGCGCACGAAATTCGTAGATAAAGAAAGGAAAAAAATAATGTACTCACCCTTGGTCTGGTTGACGTCGTGCCAGGCTTCGACTATCAGCGAGAAGGTGCCCTGATAACAAACGATAAATAATTATTAGCGATCAGGTCACGCTTGCTTCTTCAGGTTGTGTTTTTTTTTTACGAGCAGCCGAATCACGACTCTCGGTCATGCCTGTGACCTCCCGAGCAGACTTTCCCCTCTTTAATTACCAAGAGAGGAGCCCGGCCAGCAACTGGATAAAATACAAAAAGGATGGATCTCGGATGGACGGACGGGCCCACCGAATAATCACCTACGCCGCCGCGGCTGCCTCAATTTATGCCCACCTTGCTCGACCTTTTGGCAGCGGTCGGTTGTTCCACAGCGGTCGAGGAAAACATTTAATGAAGTTGTGCCTCGCACCTAGCATGTAGAAAGAGAAAAAGAATCCGAAGGGCATTGTTTCACGATTTACTCCCGCACCCGACCGATTATTGTAATAAAAAAAAATAATGATAATAAAAAGGATGAAGCAAACAGGGGCAGGCGGGCACTAAATCAAAACGAATTTTCCCAGGCAAGTTAGTAATTTATCCAGGCACTTTGGTATATAATCCGAAAGCACAAAAATCCGGAATTTCGGCTGCTCAAATCACTGAGGCGGCTGGAGAGGAAAAGAATCGCTTTTTCACTTCGGGCGGCGCGCAGGTTTTGCAGACGGACGACGCTGATTTAGAATTTCGATTTCTTGGACGCTCGGCGTTTGTTTGAAGAAGGTGGCTTTGAGTTTCGAAAGACATTTTAGAAGAACAACTCTCTCGCTTTGAGATAGCATCTGAAAGCGACGCTCCAAATGTATATAAATAGAGGCTTGTTTTGGCTCAAAACGCCTTGAAGGCAAGTCCGAGAGCGCAATTGAAAAAATCTGAGCAAAAAATTTGCAGATAAAAAAAATTGAAAGCTCAAATTTAGAAATGAAAATGTGATCTCGTAAGCCAAACCCTTGCGATGAATGAGACGTTTGAAAAAATCCAAAATTTGGCGATCAAAAATTTGCACACTTATTTTTATCCAAATTGGGCTGCACAAACACCGGCGTAATCCGTATTTTTTGTCGGCACTGTCGTCAATTGCAAAACCTGCGTCCACACCGGAGGAGCACACGTGTGTTGGGGGCGGCGGCGGGGGCGGCACTCACCGGCCATGTGAACTGGAAGGGAAACTTGACGGTGTAGGTGTCGTTGAGGAGTCTGTCTCCAAGAAGGGGCGAGTGGACATCGCCGTAGGTGCACGGCGACTCGGTGTCCACCTGCAGCTGGTAGTGCTTGAGGCACACGCGGAGGCTGGTGAGGCAGGGGCCTCCGCACTGAAGGTCGTCGGTGGCCGGTTCGCCGTCGCAGCAGTGGCCAGTCGTGTCCCGGCCAAGGGGATTATCAAAGCGGGACACGCGTAGCTCAAACAGTCCGCTGGCGGCGACCTCCTGCTAAACCAAAACAGAGTCAGTACGAGCAGACACTCGAGGGGGAGGCGGCCCGGAGGCGTCGACCGAGGGTTGAACTTACCGGGGGCCGCAGCACCAGCGGCAGCAGGAAAGCAAGCAGCAAGGGCCGCATCTCACGCACGCATGTCCCTTCGCGAACTCGGCTCCACTCAAACTGAGCGCCACCGCATTAGGCCAACCCGCACCGCTTGACGAGAAACCGGTTATCGGACGACGCGCCGGTACTAATCGGCTCAAAAGCAGCTGCCGCATGAGGAGGATCGAGTGGCAATGCTTTTCAAAGGGGAGGGAATCTTCACGACTGGTTGGTCTCACAGCCGGTGACGAAAAAACAACCGGTTTAATTTTCCTCTTCCAAAACCGTAACCGACTGGGAGCAGAGCGACGCCAGCGCTCCTGCCAGCAAAGTTTGTATTAAAAAAGCAGTGTAAATTAAATCGTTTTTTCCCCTAACGATTTGACATTACCTGAGCGAGCAGTAAATTTAACATTTATTTCAATAAAGTTATATAATTTAATATGATTAAATTTGAAAAAATTCTCTGGTGAATGCCGGTGATGATGGGACAGCGTGCCACACCGCTCGTTTTCTTTCTTTCTGTTCGCACCCCTTCGCTTCCTCAATCGTCGCGTAAAAATAAAATGAATGGATCGCGTTAGAGAGGTCAATTTTGAAACGCGCTCGTTCTCAAAATAATCTTGTAACAAATTTCAAACGATTCAACGTTCCAATTCGTACCAGGCCCGCTATGCAGCGCACACGCACGCACGGTCAAATTAATAGCTATGTTTGTCCTCATCTGTTCGTTCTGGCATTAGTGTCTTTTTCACTGAAAGGCTGATTAATTTGCTTCGACTTGCGGTGGCAGTTGTCCCGCTTCTGTGTTGATTCATTTTAAGAAGACCAAAGACGACAGAAAAAGAAACAGGAAACGTCGCTGAATTTCAGCACCGTGACTCTTGATTGAAAAAGTGTATTTTCCTTTCGTCGAATTGAAATTAAACAAGAGGGGGTTGATAACGATCTTGGTAATTTGGATTCGGAAGACGGTTATTAATTAATATTTCACACTTGACACATTCTAGGCTGTTAATAATTCATCTTTGAAGGCGGCGCTTTTCTAAATTTAATTAGCACCTTTTAGCCGTCGGGCGGTGTTTCAAAACTAAAAAAAAAAACGCTCCTTCGGTCAAGCCGAGCGAAATTTTTAACTCGGCTACCGCACATTATGCGATGATGGATTGGTGATTGTTGTATTTTTATAATGTTATTATATTTTGCACTGTCCGTTTCACATGGCGTGTTGTTCCTTTGTCATGGCCTAATTATTTTAACAGCGTTTCTCGCGCCGCCTCCGTAAATAAATGGTATGTGTTCCAAACCCACTACATTTCAAATATGAAACACATGCAACAATCGCCATCTGCGGCAAGAGCAGAACTGCAGTTTAAAAAAAAATTCCTCTTTTATGTAGTGAATAATCTCATAAATAACAGTTGCAAAATCAATTTCATCCGTGTGAGATAGACCCAGTTTGAAATTAAACGCCAGGGGGCGAAACTCTGTTTATTTAATTAAGAGCACTGAATTAATCATCATCAATCTTGGCTTTCGATGCTCTCTCTCATTTAAACTTTCTCCAAGGCAATTGAATAAATCTATAAAATCTATACATTGTCATAATCATGTTTTTGAAATTTTAGAAACTCTTCTTAAAATATTTATAATAAAATATTTAGCCACTTACAATGGAAGGTTTCACTGGGTTTCCCATTTAAAAATCATTGCATCTAGCTTAAATAAATATTTTTTTTTTAAATAAATGTTATAATATTAAAAAATACGAGCAAAGTTAAAAAAATTATGAAATTAATAATAATTTTATATTATAAAATTTCGACTTGCACCACCAAACTACAGTTTTTGTTAAAAAAATTATTGAAGTTAAATTATTGAAGTTTAAATTGTTTAAAATGTTTTTAAATTTTTACAATAAATTTCCATCTTTATTTTTTTGCCCAAAACCTGAAAACAGTTATTTATTTTTAATGTGTATTCAAAAAGTAAAAATGTAAATTTTTTATAACAAATTAAAAACATTAATATAACCAATTTACTTCAATAATTTTTATAACAAAAACTGTCGTTTGGTGGTGCAAGTCGAAATATTTGGTCTTCAAAAGAGCAAAACTAGGGCGACAAACTACACACATTTGTACCGGAGATGACGGTGAAAATCGAAATTAGCACGGGATTCTTACTTTCTCAGAAAAGAGGAAACGTCGGTATGCTCCGCTTTTTTCTCAGCTCATATACAAGAGTCCGTTGGGAGAAAGATGCAGCGGAAAAAGGAGGTGATGAATGGGAGATGGAGTGTGTTTTGAGGCGAAATGTTCTGACTCTTTGGGGGCGACGAAGAATGATAATGGGCATGCATAATGGCGCGATGACGAGTCTCACTAAATACACTAAAAAACTGATGGCCCAGAGTTTTGTAAAAAGGTGCGTGACCAAGAGACAGGCAGGTAAAATTCGGCCCATTGAGAGACACAAGAGGGCCGTTCGGTATGCGCGTCGCTTGCCATGCTTTAATTTCCCGCTCAATGGCGATATTTCACTACTTTATGGCTCTCTCCGGCAGGTCACTCTTTGTCCGCCGTGCTGGAAATAATCATTTGCATCGCCATTCAGGGTCCGTAACCTGCGACTCACCTTTCGACACACTCCGCGCTTTTCTTCCTCCAAACACAAAGAAGCATCTCCCCGGAGCCATACTTGCTATTGTGTGCTCGACTTTTCGGCCTGGTTATTAATTTATTATTTATGATTTACTGTCCTTCAACTTGTTAAAATACCAAGAGTTGCGGTGGTCCTCAACAATATTTACCAAATTTTGTGCAAACCTCTGTTTCCCATGCGTGGAAAATTCCTCCGTAGGTCATAAATTTTTTCCTTTCTTTGTGCTGGAAATGGGCGCCGAAAGGATATTGCTGTCTGTGATATTGAGCTATTGGAGCTCTGCGGTAGATCAACATAAGAAAAGTCGGTGTGTGCAGCCACCCAGAAAATATTCGCGCTGAAAAGAAAAGTATAAATGTAGGACCTGAATCCTCATTCCTCCTCCCCCGCGTACAAAGAAAAGGGTCTCGTCGCGTTCCTGGAAAGAAGGGTCGCCTAATGCCACTTCAAAGGGAGGTTTGTTTCGTTCCGCGCAAAACAAAAATCGGGAATATATTTTACAGATCGGTGGTCAGCACCTTATACCATTTTAGTGGAGAAGCGTGTGAAAGTTGCAGCGCGTGGAGACAAGAAAGAGACCCCAACCGCCAAAATATTACCTGCACGCGGCCAATATGTCAATCAAGCGCGATGAAAATTCCCTCTTGACCACTTCTCCCCCTATTGTCCAGAGAGGGTTGACCTTTGAAGTCGCCGATTTTGGAGAGGGAATAAAATTTAAAATTTTAACATGAATGGAGAGGGAGGAAGCCCGATTTTCCGTTTCATTTGTGTGGGAAATGGTAAGGGCTTCAACTCTCAATTATTCACCAAGTGCGGTTTCCAATAATATTGCAATATCTCATTTTGATCTCAATAGTATTACATGATTTTTAATCCGTATTTTAATAATTAAATATTCCTCCAAAATATCAAGTGGAAGACAACTTTCATCTCGTAAACCAATTATTTTATTATTTTCTTGTGCTTGAATTTTATTTATATAATTAATTTAAGTTTGTGAGACAAGTAATATGTGTGAATTTTTTATTTATTTATATATTTAAAAAAAAATTATTATATTTTTTCAAATAATTGTTATTTTGCGTGTGTGTTTTCTGTTCTAATTATGTAGAGTAGTGTCTTTGTTTGTGTTGATAAGGGTAACGCAGTGTCATGGTTTAATTTTTGAGAGGTTTTTATGAGATTTTACTGAAGCTGTGCAAAAAAACTTGGCTTCAAAGAATACGGAATACAAGTCAAAATTTTGACTTTAAATAAGAAATAAATCTTATACAACCCAAAAATTAATATTTTAGTGTTATATTCCAATCTTTAAAGCCAAGTTTTTCTTGCACAGTTTCAGTAAAACCACGTAAAAACCTCTTAAAGATTTATTAATTTTTTAATGTTTAATGATAAATGATAATAAAAATTAAATTTTATACATTCAAAATGTACATAGCAAACATCAAAAAATTATATTTAATATCACTTTTATTAACCTTCTTGAAAAATTAATTTATGAAATTCTTTTGTTAAATCTTGAGAAATGTTAAAAATATTGTTGTATTTTATTGCAGGCTTTGTAAAACAGAAAACTGACCAGGTTTCCCCCTTTTTAACGTGTTTGAATATTCCACAGGCAACTTCCACCCACAAAACAATTCACTTTGAATAATAATGACTACTTTTAACAACTCGCACAGAAAACGTAAGAAAGTCCGCGGCTTCTTGGCGTATAATTTGAAGAAAATTTTTATTTATATTTCCACAAGCGTGGCACAGTTGTAAAGGAAACAGATGTTTCGCGCTGTCTCGATTCGATAATCAACCCTTTGTTACCCCAGCCACATTTTCTCCTTGGCCTGAGCCGCGCGTTTTCATTTATTATTTCACAATGAAAAGAGCAGCTTTTCATTAAAGTTTCACGAGAGGCGGTGCGGACGTGCTCCGGATTTGACCCCTACGTGGTGCACTCGGCAACTTTCGTAACAAAAAATCAGGTATAACAAGCGGTGCAGCAACTCTCGAAATGGTAAAATTTGCTCTTTTCTCAATTCTTTATCTCGGTCACGTCGCCGGCCCGGGTCAAGTCCTGCGTGCTCAAAATGCTGCAGGCGCGCGCAAGGGCTGCATCATCCCCCATTCACATGCACACATCCATCCGGTGGTGCAGCCTGCACCACTTCCGCCCCAAGCCGCGGCGGTGCCGTACTAATCTACTCCTTGTACACACACCGGCTTAATATTTCTCATGCGGCACCACTCGTAGCAGAAGCTCATTCAAAGACACTCAATATGGCACACTTCTTTCTCTATTCATATGTACCGCCCATTTATTTCGTCTATTTATTATCGACGCTTTCCGTCTTTTTTATGCACTGCATTCAATTCGATACGCTGGAGACTTGTTTGCATGTGCATCAAAACTACTTTGTCGTCTTTGTCGTGCAGGAAGTTAGATTTTTTCCTTGCGGATTT